GCTCTGACGAAGGGCTAACGCTCAAAACGTCAGCTTTTATAATCATAACGGTGGCCAATTTACCATTTCAACTTTGTTGATATATTCAAATTAGAATCGACTATTATTCGTCAATAGGCTCATTCAAGAATAGTAATTAACTATGCATTGATATTCATTTTAACCACTTCAGCCAGTCGTTTTTTAAAGTTCTTTTGACAGGGTGGACACACTAGCCTAATTGTTGCGTGCGATCTCACACGCTAAGTGTGTTGTGTCGTCTCGCACACTAGCTTTTGTTTTCGAAGGTTAACATGCTTCTATGTTCAACTGCTCACGCTACATTGTTCAACAGGTCACACTTTTTTTGTTTTTAGTGTGAAAAGATTTTGCCAATAAAGTGTGCCCTTGGACACACTTTAAGCATGCTAAAACTGATTTCCTTTGTTCTAAAGTGGAAGTGTTTTTGTGAGTGTGCTATCACCTTTAGCATCAAAGTCCTATTATGGAGGGTCACTTTTATTGAAGAAAATAGAAACAGCAACACGACGACGCGTCAATTCCGTTCCGCTTCACATACTTTTGTCATGCACTCTCCGTAAATAATTATACGTGAAATTTGCCTGCACTGAAATAACAGTTTGGCGTGTTGGATAATAAATAACTTATTAGAAGTTTTGTTGTGTAGTATCGCTGAGTATTTTTACTCGTTATTTGTATTTTGACGAGCCTGTAGGGCTCGTCAAAATACGACACAACTCGCAAAAATACTCAGAGATACTACACAACAAAAATGACTAATAAGATATAAGTACACAATTTCATTGAATACTTTAAAGAAAGCATATAGGTGTATCAACTTGCCTTTTCTCGTAGGAGTTCTTTGAAAGCTTGTTTAGCTTCTTCCTTGGTTTCATAAACATATTCTTTCTTCTCCACTGTGGCAACAGCTGGAGTTTCACTTATGTTCACTGCACTGTATTGTAAAAATAAAAAGAATTGGAATTGAATAGTTCCAATAGTCTAATTTCATCAACTGTTATATAACTTGCTGTTTGTTTTGTGAAGTCCAGGAGGGACGAATGGCTAAATTATCATACAGATACAATATTGTTTTCCTGTTGTTCTTTTGCTGTTATCTAGTATATGAATCAATTAATACACCAACTCTGCAGATCAGACAGATGATTGTTACTGCAAATATCCACACATTTTACAACTCCTTGTTCAATATTAATCAAAACTGTTTGACCATCAAAATAAATATGACATCACAGAAGAAAAAGTTCTTTAACTGACCTTGCCATGGGATAATCTTGAGCAGTTCCCTCATCAGCTTTTTTGCCATCTTTTTCATCACTTTCCTTGTTTTCATCTTCATCTTCATCATCTGACACTTCCTCCTCCCTTGATTGTTTTAAAAGTAAACACAGTCAAACCTCTATCTCTATAGCATCCTATACCCAGCTTCTATCTAGTGACTGTTTGACCTCTAACAGGGCGGGTTGTAGGTATTTTTCTTTATAATGAAAACTAAAAGAATGCATAACAGTTGACCTGCATGTTTGCCAGTCAGTGCTAAGATAGATAGATACTTAGATAGATAGATAGATAGATAGATAGATAGATAGATAGATAGATAGATAGATAGATAGATAGTTAGTTAGATAGAAACTTTATTAATGTGTCAAAGAGGCTTCTAGTTTGGGAGATATCCCATACTAATGTGGGGACACAAATAAAATGGATAAAAATTATTTACAAAGAATATTATTACCTACTTAAGAATAAAATTAAGTCATATCATATATGAAAAAATATGAAATGAATTGAGAAGTACATAGAGCACAGCCCCTCCAGCCATCGTCTAATGGGGAGCTGAAGTCACGCTTACGTATGCGGTTTTTGAAACTAGCTAATGTTGTGGATGATCTGTCATAAGTTGTCAGTTTACTCCATAATATAGGTCCTAAATAGCGTAGTGGATGTTTGCCGCAAGTTATTGTGTTGTATCTAGGAATAGAAAAGTCGGCCTGTCTTAAATTATAGGAAGCGTTGTGTTTCTGAAATATATTACAAATATTCAAGGGGCTAAGGTTGTGTTTAACTTTGTACATTAAAATGCATATAATTATTATCCTGTAAGCGTCTGTTTACTTGCGAAGGTAAATTACCTTTCTGCAACAAACGTTCATAGGTGGAGTGTTTGTCTTTGAATACAGCCCTTAGGCCTCTTTCTTGAACTCTCTATTTCCTAATCTCTGATTCCTAATCTAATCCTAATCTCTAATTCCTAACTTGTACATTCATTTGATAGGTAAGGAAATGTCATGCATATTAACATCATTGTATGTAAACATGACAGTTGGTAGTTAATATTTTAAAA